GGACGCTGTACTTAGTGCCGTCTGAACTGCCGATGGTTACTATAACAGTTTAATGAACTTCAAATAGAGCCTTTAAGTGGGGGGCAAGTTCAGAAGTGTACGGGCCCTGCAAGTGGCATAGGTAGCACCTTATCGCACCATTCAATCAACGCTTCATACTGAATCCATGAAGGAATTTTCTCCAAGGGTCATTGGGAAATTAACTTTGTATACCCTGAATCCACAAAATCACATTCTTTGTGACAAGTTCGCTCGTCGAGAAACTCCACATCTTTGTCGAAATGGCCTCATAAACCTCTGCAATTGCAGTGGATTACATGCGTCCGCCTTGCTGCCATGCACTCGCTTAACAACCTTACAACGCCCGTGAAAGTGCCATCGAGATCTTCACACCACCAGGTCGATAGCCAACTTCTGCATCATTAATCAACAGTGTGCATTCGAGTATACTTACCATTAGATTCGGTATATGACAAATACCAATTGAAGAAGGTTACGCGTCGACCAACTACAGAAGCAGTCAGCTCAAACAGATGTGACCACCCAGCCTGTGCTATGCCATTACCACCCACGAAACATATGTTGATTGACAGATCCTGTCTTTCTTTTCGAACTTGCTATATGTATAAGGCTGCAACAAGTAACCAGTCAGAATAAGACCAAGAAGCAACGAGTGACTTGGCCAAAGCGTCCACATACAGTAATCCAATAAGTCACATTCTAAAAAAATAATCCATAGGAAAACGGAGTGTTTAGTATGTACAGAGGCAATCGCACGGGATCGGAAACCACAGTGGGTCTTTACGCTGAGTAGCTTTCCAAGTTTGGAGGTGCACATTCGAACATGACTATAAGAAAACATTTCTGACCACGACGTGCCCTTTAAAGGAAGCGATTACGATAAGGAATTTTTGCATCGGGGAGAACCTGCGCCACACGGAGCAATTACTTGGCTGCCAAGGAAGCGATGTGTGGCGCTTCCACGGCGAAAGGTGCTGTGGTTGCTGAGCAGGACCTTCCGCAGCACTCCGCCTCCAGCAGCGTTACGCCCACTAGTTCAGTTGATGACTTGGGCGAGCTGTTGCTGTTGGCTTTTCATTTTGGGAGATCATTTCCCTTTTAGCGGCTGTATCTTCCAACTTGCCCATGTAATGCCTTATCAATCAAAACACTATGCTTGTTGGCATGATGGCGGCTATCGATGGGCTATCGGGGTTAACACGTCCGAACAACGTCATTCTTTACCGTCGCTCATCCATGGTCGAAAATGAAAGGGCAATCAAAGGGGTACTATTTTGCTTATTTTTGACGGATTTCTTTGCTTTTTTCGCCATTGGCGTACTATTGAGACCCTCACGTCCCCTCCAAACCCCTTTGAAATCTATCGTAATCGCTGCCTTTACCTACAGCGCCAGCACCCGTGATGAACAAATAACCAAAACGAGTGCATTTATGGGCACTTTCATTTGACTGCTGATCATTGGCGTTTCTAGAGATCACTATAATCTTGCTATAGTGATGTGTTAATACGAAAAACCGGTTATTCTCATAGACGGAGCAAATCGGAGAGCACTCGGCCGCTTGCGGGCGTGATGTATCAAGCACATAAAAGTTAACTCCTATGATATCGACATTTATGCAGCGTGGAACTCATTTTAAGAGGGGTTCGCGCATGAGCGCTAAGCTTTTGAAGATTGGAATGAGCGTCTTACACAAGCGAAGGAGCCCTACTACAGCCAAGAAGGGGCAGGTGGTTGATAGGCTCTGACGATAATCTGAACTATGAAACATCTCGCTAAGACCTCTTGAAGTCTCTAAATGACTTTGAAGATCAAGTGAAGTAGAGTCCTATACTGATGTTGAATTTCAATTCGATGTAATATACTTTGCTTCTTGTTTTATACATATGTGATTTTGCTTACACTATTTCATCTAATTCTATAGTAATAACTACTTTATTTTTGGGTTTGGGAATCAATGTTTTAGTCTAGTCGAGAATTTTGAGAAGATATGTACACTTCTGTATTTGAATTGTTCAGTGAGTGATCGTTATCAAATGAGTGACGGTGGTGGAAGTCGATTCCTTTGTTTGAATCGACCCATGCGTTACAGGATTGACTACGCTTGCAACATACTCACTCAGCGAGACTAGGAATCCATGGGCCTTCTGGGAAAGAATAGTTTTGTCTTTTGGACTGAGGACTTTCGCTGATGTAGAGTAAAAAAGGAAACTGCTGGAATGGTCCATTTTTCTTTTCCAAAAGTAATTCACAGTTCTCAGCCATAACTTTTTGAAAACTGGTTTTGTACAAAGCGGCAAGAAATTTTTGAATGGCTCTATGTATTGGCTATTAAGAAAATGTTTTCTTGGAATCGTCGCTTCAGTCAGTAGCAAATCGTTCAAGTAAATGCGAATTTTTAACAACCTAAATAACAACTACATTTTGATCAGATTTGTTTTGTGCCACTTAGTGAACGGCATGCGAATTTGGTTCCGAAACCGCTGAAAATTCCCGATAAGCAATCTGCCGTGCGATCCCGGACGAGCCATGTCCGTCGCCCTGACAAAGTGCACGATTTTCGAATTTCTAGGACTTTACGATACACACTGGAAAAAGTCAGGGAAATCAGAGAAGTTCTCAATCTCTGCTACAACTTGGAAGCACTAGATAGTACACCAGTACGTTAAAGGAATCTTCCACGGAAAAAGCTCCGCCTCCATTACCACAGAAAAACGATACCTTAGGCCCCTAGCCTCATGAGCATAGCAAAAAGAACGGAACATAAGCGTTAGTTTCGATAATACTAATCCTACACACAAGACAAATCGATCAAGGTATCGTTTTCTCGTGGTAAATGACAGGGCGGAGCTTTTCCGTGGAAGATTCCTTTTAACATAACAAAAATGACACTGCCACAATACCCAATCCTCGAGGATGTGCAAATCGGCGCTAATCGCTTTTGCACAAAACCAATTTTTCGGAAGATTCTGACCATTGAATGAAAATGAGCTTATTAGTGAAATTTCTTTGTTTACATTAAAAGGTGAGTATTCCCTACCAACACGATAGTCGTAGGTCAGCAATTGGTCAAAGTGCGAACGCATTACGGTGGTTGATCATCCCTTTTCGGAATGCGCCCGCGCATGTCTAACTTCATTATGAATCGTAGTAGCATTCGAATGCAGTTTGGTCCAGCAATGCAGGCGGACCAGGGAAATGGATTTATAAGTAGATTTACTCCCGTAAGCGATCTGTTACCAGTTAACCAAGCGCTGGGAGATGACAGGCTTGTATGGCCTGAAAACGGCGTATGGTAGATTAATTTGCGATCCCAAGAACTTATGCACCATCTTGGAAATGCCACTTGCAACTTCACTGTTTTCGTCGTTAGAACCCTCATAGGATTCACGTTTTTTTTTTGAGTTTTTAGTGACATGTCCAATTACCCCCCCCGTACCACTCCCTTTCCCCTTTTCCATACATCCATTTTGTGAAAATCACTTCACTGCCCGAGCTCAAATATGAAAGCATTCGGGTCTCGTCCAGTAAGGGTGCATGGGTTGCGGCATTTCATATCGCATGAAAAGAAATACACTTTTTGCAGGGGAGGAAAAGCTGTGTGGGTAGAACGTAAAATCAAGCGAAATGGTTAGCGCACGCCGGGGATTATCTCTCTTTGCAAAAATTCGAATTTCTTTAGCCGCCAAGAACTGTCGCCAGCCCCCCTTATTGGACGAAACCCAAGCATTCTTTTTTCAATTGCACTGAACTTGTCCGAGAAAGCGCCGAGAGCCGTTGAACTAGCGTCATGCGTAAATCACCCGCTGATTCACTAGAGGCCATCGCCGTCTGTGCTCTAGCCTGTGGGTCAGAGAGCAAGAGGCAGTAACATTTAGTGACAGTTTGCGTTCGCCCGCAATGATGAAGCGTCGTGTTTTCAAATTGTCGCTTGTTTCTGTCATGTCGGTGTTATATTTGCTTTTTCATTAGCGTGAGTCTTAGGAATTAGTAGAGCCAAATTCGAACAGCCAAATTGAGGAGGGTTTTCTCGTGCATATAAGGTCTCTTTGCCCACGCTCTCCATCCCATAGAAAATGTTTTCTGTTGCGTGGTCAACGTTGTGTTTATGTAAATAATCGAAGTCGAGCAGAAATCCATGTGGTTACGCTTAGTGAAGGTCTTCTACAGCCTCTATTCTGGAAGCAACTTGTAAAAATCTCGCAGAATCTATACTAAAAGACGACAATCGATCACTTCTTTTTGTTTGGCATCTTCTTGGTATTGTCTTAGACCGTCATCGTCATTAATTTCTGGTTTCAGTTATTTGCCAAACTTTTTGACTGACGTAGTGCAATCAGGTGACGGTTTCTTTACAGTAAAACCCGATCCATTCTCCAGTAATACCGTTTTGGTGAAGGTTTTCCTTTCGTGCGGATTGGAAGACGATAATTAGGTGACATCGCGATTGTATGATTTCAGACAACATTTTCCAGCATTACGAGCGCCTTTCTGATGATTAGTACGCTACATGAAATTAATTTTTTGAAACGCCGAGCCGAAGAGAACGCCTCAAATCAGGGCTTAAGCGACATGTAGTACACAGAGAACGCAAACAAATACACGACGAATTACCTGTTTCTCTGGTATATTTTCTAGTCTCAGGCACAAGTCAACGAAATGGTTTCACATGCCAAAGATCTCATTCATGTTACTTTGGAATTTTCGATTTGTTACAAGATGTTTTGTTGTTGTTGGCGTTGTTGTCTGTTTGTTGTCAAGCTCATTCAAAAGTCCGTTGTTGTCTTTGCAACCATTGTGAGGTTTAGAGGTTTCTTCAAGTTGGCACTTTTATCTCTAGCAGCAGAGATGCCTTCCTATGAATTTCAATATAACATGTACAAAAATTGCTGATGAACTCGCTTAATGTTCCGAACTTTATGCAGCTTGTGTTGCACGGGCAGTCTTCCATTAGTTTTTATACTTTCAGTTCCATCAACAATGGGGAAACTTTTATCAAAAATTTTTGGCAAGAAGGAAATGAGGATATTGATGCTAGGGTTGGATGCGGCTGGAAAAACCAGTGAGTTTTATAGGTGCCATTTCAGAGTTAATTTTCCATTTATGTTCAGTTTATTTGCGTTTTAGCCATCCTGTACAAACTGAAGCTTGGTCAATCCGTAACCACAATTCCGACTGTTGGATTCAATGTTGAAACAGTTACATATAAAAATGTAAAATTCAACGTATGGGTAAGTATGCTCACCGACGTTTAGGCTAGTATAGTTTTCAGAACAGTGTATCACTCAGTATTAGTACTTTTTTTCGCTACGGCAACACTTTCCGTAATCAATATACGCATAATGAGCCCTCGTTCAGGACGTAGGTGGACAAGATAAAATCAGGCCGTTGTGGAGGCACTACTATACTGGTACTCAAGCCCTTATCTTCGTTTTGGACGCAGCCGATAGAGATAGGTACTTCTTCTTTATTCCTTCACCATTTTCAAATAAATAACCCATCAATATATTTTTGAGCTTTCCATGGGCGTGGAAACTTAAGATATCGAATTTGAAATTTCTTTTGAAATTAATTCCAAGCAATTACGCAGCATGTACTGCCATGTGCACCCAGCTAAGTATGCAGTAATTCTTGTGCCTGCCCAGCAGTTAGAGTGCAGAGTAGCAACTTATCGATCATGCGGTCATCCGGTCAATGGTATCTGCTCCACGCTCGAAGTGGAAATTCTAACTCAACCATAGGGACGCACTCATAGCCGTATATCGTAACGATCGCACAGCGTTAGATTCGTATCCATCGTGCAGCCCCAGACACGTCTGGTGATCGGTAGGCATCCAGCGCTGTGCGTTACAATCGAACGATCGTACGACCGACTGTGAATGGGTCCTGAGCGAACACGTCTGGTATCGCGCTCAGCGAATACTTAAGCTGTCATTTTTGACATCTATTCCGCAAAATCGGATGAGAAAACAAAACAGCGTTTGGGACAGACGAAACAATCAATACAAGAATTGATTAATTTCGAATATCATTTGCTAACTTCTTCGTCGTATTTCATTCCTCTACGATCCCTTGATTCCCTCAACACATTCTTGCACTTCTTTTATAGTAACATCAACTTGGATCTATCATATACACACAAAAGTATGCACATGACACGCATGGCGCGCATATTCCAGTAACGCGGTAGAGTGTTCATTGAAACACTCGGCTAAAACGACACAAGTATACCACAAAAGTGTTTATGCAAGCTTTAGAAAAAGAAAGCACGCAAAATTTCAACATCTTGACGACAGTGCGAGTTTTTGCGATTTTGAGCGTGTGGGATTGAGGCGATTTGGCGACCGCATTTTTCGCCTTACTCATATCCACCGCAGGTCCAAAAGGCGCGTTTTGGTAGATCAAAAGTATTAGCAACTTGTGGGAGCGGCAAACAAGAAAGCTTACATATCAAAAACAGACAGAAAGGGCTTCCTTAATAGAAGTTTCGCTTGAACAAAAGCCTATTCAGAGATACAAAGTGCATAATTGGAGATCTTGTTGGGAAGTTTTTGTATACGTTTTTTCCACTACAATAGTTGGAACTTCTTACAGCCTGACAAATTTGGCGTTCACAACGTTTTGGCCAAACATTCAAATGTCATTCACAATTTTGCTTCTTTCTTAAGAGTTAGTGTGAGTTTGAGGTGAATTGAAAAGTTCCTGAGTTCTAGCAAATCTTGCTAAACTGGAGCGTTTCGTAGACCACAAAAATTGTTGTTGTATAAATATCTAATCTATAAATTGAAAGCAAAAAACCTGGGAGACGTCAAGTTTCTGCAAAAGGAATTGATGAAATGGTTGCGGCAAATACCCCCAGGGTCCGACATGGTTCCCTCGCTGTCGTCAACGTGCTAAGGTGGCCGCCGTGTACAAAGCTGGGTGCGAAACGGTTAATAACGATATATCCATGAAGTGAACGAAGCATCTTTCTTTTTTATTTATTGGACAATGTTCGAATTGGTGTGCGAGTCAGGAGTAATGTTTGGTGTGTTTGTTTGCATGCGGTAGAGTCAGCAATATGGAATGCCGTCTGGTAAGAATACACAAATGAATGGTGATAGCGTCGAACATTGTCGTTCAGACAGGAGGTGGTGGGGGAGGGGGGGCATGGTCAGCCGAGCGTTGCGCAGATCAATTTTTACGGCTTTCCTTTCTCAGGGGTTATCAGTACGCCCCGTGTATTTGCTGTTTATGTCTTTTCACATATTTTTATGCGATGTATGGGCCGTCATCGAGATGAAAAAAGTGCGGGCAGTGGGTAGTTAATTCGTCGAGCGCTTGGTCTCGCTCAGGTAGGGAGACCGGTGGCTACATGAAATTCGCTCATTTAATAAAGGTAACCTACAGTATTTTGCATACACGTAGTTGTATTTGTACTTGCGACGAACCCCCCCCCCTAATTTCAGAAACCACTAAGTCCTCTAACTTCCAGAAAACCAAATCTTGCAGGAATTACGGACTTCTTCATAAAGTAACAGGACCAGCAGGATCCTTACTTTCGATACAAAAAGTTGTGAAAATGATGCGCAAGCCTTAGACAAGAACATAAAAAATGTCACTAAACAGTAAGCTCACCGTGGAAAGCCAATTGTAGTAAACTCAGCATCCACAATGTCATTATCGACCGTTTTCACCTCTCGTTCAATCTGGAATTGGCTTCAAAAGATTATATCTCTCCAGAGGCGTTCATGGGACTTGATACAAAAATTTAAAAAAGTTCGAATTGCTTTTTATCTAAAATTATTTACACTACTACAGGTGTTCACTGTTCAAGAAATCGTCCCGTTGTTCCGTTTTTTTGTGCACACGCGAGTTTTCGACATTCAAACATTCATAACTTTCTTCATAATTAATTTGCTGGAAACATTTGAGGCTATTTAGAAACTGGAAAATTACTGCTGTCGAAGAAATGCCAAAACTTTTGAAAGTCCCCTCCTCCATTTCAATGCCCTTCAGGGGATACTCCTATCTCCTAAAGGGCATTGGAATGGATTTTTTTCCACTCAAATTTGCTATTAGGACTCACGTTTACCTTCATGCGTTTTTAGTTCGAAAACATCGACATTCCTGTGAAGAACTTTTGTCACCTATACGTAAGCCCACGACCCATTCCCTCACTCAGTACTCTGAGTAAATAAGGGCGGAAGTGGTGTAGTGGACAAGTGGCGCGCTTACCACGCGAGCGGTCCGGGGATCAAATCCTGGGTCGTGAGTCGCCCGGGCCAACCAAGCCTTCCATCCCTCCGGGGTCGGTTAATTGGTACCAGACTTGTCTGGGAGGATAAAAACACTGACTTGTACATCGGCTGGCCCCCGCAAGTCATTGTATAGGCCACATCGCCTACGAATGTACAAATGGAAGTAGAATGCGTGCCGCATCCCAAAAAGGGATTGATCAACGGCAAATGCTTTATCCTTTATCCTTTTATACTCTGAGTAAATATCGTGCTCTTACTTCACTGTGTGATAACTAGAAGTAGGAATCGAACACGGAGAACACCCAGCTTCAAGTTATTGACAGTGTACGCCTAAGGGTTTCCACATGAAGCCTCGACTTCTTCCACATTTTGAAATTTCAATTCCTAGGGCAAGGATGGTACCTGAACAACCATTTCGTTCGCGGCACAACTGATTGAACAAATTGGTATAGTGCCAGAAACCCAGCTTTATTCAAGCAAGTGGCAGCGGCGCTGGCCACTGCTCGCCCTTCCTTCGAATCTGCCGCAGCTGCGACGTCATTTTGACGTCACCGGCACGCGCTCGCGTCCGCGCCGCCGGTGAGCTTTTCTCTCCCCCCCCCCCCCGAGAAAATGTGGTGCATCTCCGTGTAGCACTTTTGAAAATAAAAGCGATACAGTTATATGCCTAGAAAAATTCAGCTATGTGGAGCCATACAGAGAGGGCCCATGAAATTCTCGAATTTCTACTATATAATTGTCAATAATTAAGAGTTGATGAGGCACGCGTCGAACTACACCGTATTATAAATGACCGAGAGATGAAGGATGCAATAATACTTGTTTTTGCGAACAAACAGGATCTCGCAGACGGTTCGTTTTTTTTTGCTCTTTAATTTCCTTTTTTTTTCTCGAATGCTTGCCGTTATTTGATCTCTACTTTAATTGATTTCGAATCTTTCCAAATTCTTGCATGACTCAATTTTTTGCCCACCATTAGTGTTCATTTTTTCTTCTCATGAGCGTAGTGTCTCAGAAACTTTTAATGGAAGTCCAGGTAGGATACGTCTTATCGATTTTCTTCCACAATTTTTTTTAATATTGGAGGCGCTTTCAATTCCATCCAGTAAAGTCCGTTTGGTTTGCGACCGTCTCGCAATTCGTTTTGCAGCTTGACTTTGAAAAACGCATATCAGCAATTCTGCGATCGCGCGATCGCACGTCAAATCGATATTTGTCTGCTTCTTGAAAACCGCACAATCGATCGCTAGCTGATTGCGGCTCAAAGCGGAGTTTACGATAAAACAGCCCATTTGAAAACAGGTAGAGGTGGTCAGTGATGCAGGGATGAGGAGAAAACTAAGAAAAACGGCCTAGATTCCGAAAATGGGAATCATTTTCGCCCATTAGTTTGCGGGGTGAACGTGAAACGGCACAGCTACGCCCCTGCTGGGCCGCGCATATCTTCCGCTGCGACGCGCATCGCCCTGCACACTTGGTGGTAGGAGAAGCCGGCTGCCTTTTCATTACGTACATCACCCCTTCTTCAACCTCCGATCTTATCTTATCTTATCAATTGACGTAGACGAAGTCCACGTGGGTATGAAAACTCAAGCAAAAGAAAAATTTATCGCTGAATCTTCCTTCAGGGTAGGTGGCAGACTTCGCAATACGAAATTATGATTGCGATCACTGCCGCGAGGGAGGTGGGTTGTGTTGGTTGTATGGTTTGCGCTGCAGCGTTGTTTTCCAACGGTGCTTCTGGAATGTGTCATAGTCGCGCCGCGCCTCACTTAAACGATTGCGACTGCAGTCGTGAAGTTTGACACCTAACTAACACAGACCGACGTTAATAAAAAGTGTAATTTTTCGTGGAAAAAAGCGGTCTAACGGGACGGTTTTTTGAACGGGTCATTTTGGAAACGAGATCAAGCATTTCATAAGCATGCTGGGTTGTGAACAAAACTAATAAAAAAACAAAAAAAACACAACATAACAAACAAAAACAAGTCAAAATTCATTGTTAGTGTAACGGACAAAACCTGATTAAGCATTCTTCGGAAAGCTCTAACCTTTTAGTTTTTTTTTCAGGTAGACAAGAATTTGCAAAAAGTTGAATCTGAAGAAAGTTATAACAGTTTAAAGCCAAAAAACCAGCGCTCTGCAAAAAATCGGTCCGCGATTTCCAAAAACGGTCCAACGGGGCGATTTTTTGACTCCATCAATTTTGAATTGAGTTCAGTATTCGTCAGAGAGCTCTATTAGGAAGCTCTAACATTCTAGTTCTTGCCAGGAAAAGAATTGCAAAAGGGTGAATATGAAGAAAGTTATAGTCATTGAAAGCCAAAAAAACCCGGTTGTGCACAAAAAACGGTCCAAACGGGGCGATTTTTGAAGAAATGAAACTTTACAAAAGTTTGAGTGCTTTTTAGAGGATAAACAATTCGGAACTCTCAAATTTTCTTACCACTCCTTGCACTTCTCTATGTGAAGAAAATTATGGCTTCAAACGAAGAAGTGCGCATCTGTAAATACTTAATTCTCTCACTCCATAACTGACATAGTTTTGAAGATACTGCATAGACGTGGTTGTTTTCTAAAACTAGCCATCTCACGGACTTAGCCACTTAGCTTTTTGAAAAATATTGATATTGAACAGAATTGCACCTATGTAAAACTTATCGTCAGTAGTCGTGTTGGTCTATTCGCGCTAGGGTGAGGGTTGTGCGCGCCACTGCAAACGCGAAGCTGCCAAGCTCAATTTATACACTTTTGCAGTAGGTTGTCGTGCTTTGAGATGCGCCATGCAACCGTTGGCAATTCAACATTACGAATATTCCATTTTGCTTGTTTGCAGAATGGAAGTCAGCGCAGCTCACCATCTTTCCTGCCCAAAGCGCCATTCTAACTATAGGCCAATCCTGTTTAGCTACTAATAAATGCAGCTTATTTTGCGATTCTGTGCTTATCAGTGAACTACAGGAGCTCATGTTCTGCTACTTGTATTCGAATCGAATTAAGTGCCTCGTGAATTATTTGTTTGCACTTATTTCCCGTAATTTTATACTGTTCCATGGCTAGCAATAAATTCAGCTTGACGTGAAAGAGCAGATAGATTTCTCGTGGGCTGTAAAATGCTTAGTTGATTACGTGGCAGGGAAATGTTTCTAATCAAAAGACGCTTTGATCATGTTTCATGATGAACAGACGCAGAGCTACAATAAAACGAGATTGAACGTGCCACAATGTCAATTATTCGCGGTAGATTTCCACTCAATAGTAGGTAAATAGTTAGTTGGTGCTGTTTTTTCGTTCACTTCGTGACCTTAGGCGGGAACGAATGTCTAATCCTTTGCTGCATTCCAACGCTCATTATGCAGTTGGACAAGTATGGGTCATTGCACTCTAAAATTAAGGTAGTGGCGGTAATTGGCCCATCAGCAATGAAGATTAAAGATATTATATTCGGTGAACCACAATGTGCTTCGATCGTGTAAGCAGCGCTCGCCCACGGACTCCACGAAGGTCTCATTACCTGGGGAGTGATGATGCTTTGAAGAAGTACATTAATGTTCTCTAAAGAAATGCTACAAAATAGCGAGGCTTCCAGGCAAACTCCGCCCACAAGGTCAGTGCGCGAGTTCGTTTTAATGTTCGTAGCACCTTTTCCTATTCCTAACTTGTGGATAAATAACGATACCGCCCTTGGAGGCAACATCCCATGTCGCGGTATGTGCCCTTCAAACAAGCTGAAACGTTGGAAGGGAGTTTCTGTGGCAATGTCACCTATTCATAACAACCTCCGCCTGCTAGCAGTAGGTCCATTAGCAACAAAACGTGTGGCTTGCCTTCTTCCGGTCTTCTATGAACGAATGAAGCACTTTGGGTCCCATGAGCATAGTGCGTTGGCAGACTTTAGGATTCTGGGTCGCACGAACCACGTCCCCACCCAGGGATAGATCGCCAAACTTCTCTTTGGGTTGAATACAATTCCTCGTGGTTGAAAATAGCGGAATACATCCAGAAAAGCTGAAGGCCGGGACCGATTTCTCTAGGTGCTAATTTCAGTCCAGTACGATAGACAGCGTACCCTAAAAAGTAGCTGAGAACTTGATTGTGGCTTCGCAAATCATACGAACCAAATACCAAATACCTCTAACAGCATCTCATCCTACGCTGCATTATTTTCGACTAATTTCTTCTCAAATTGCTGCTGAGATCTTGAGTGCAGCCTTATTTGAAGTAAAAAAAATCAAATCGATTTTGACGAAAGTGGACTATAACTTTCCGAGAAAGCAATGTTGTCTGAAATTCTTGAAGGCAAAGTACGGGCTAACCATAGGCCTGACTGATGTAGTCACTCCGTGGATAGAGGTGCATAGTTCGCTACTGCAGCGGACGCCCAATCCTTGCCCATCGAAACGTGTCACTAGGACGCCAGGCGCTGGGGACTTTGATCAAATCCCACCAAAAGTATCTAGGTCTGCTGCCCACCGTTCAATATCATATCTGCCTTATCTCACAATGTTGATCTGGTATGCTCTCTCTTTTCAGACTTCTCTTATTCTCTGCGCGCCTTACATTTTCTCTCATCTCCGTGCCTCCTCTTAGACTTCTTCACTAGGCTAGTACTTTCTGTGTTCTTTTTTTTTCTCCATTTACAGTTCTCCTCCCATCCCTGCTTCCATATTTGATTTGAATGACCACTTCGACTCATTCCTGATATTTGCCTACTAGTTTAGACCTTCTGTGGGCTAGTCAGTGGTACGCACTTTTAATCTACTGGAGGGTGGGAAAAGTAATTCCACGGGTAGTTGCTGGTTTGGGCGCCCTTCAGTTAGGGGGCATCTGGAATAATGACTTGTGCCGCCTGAAGTAGTCCTATTTTTTCGCAACGAAATGGAACTCTAAACTGCATGTGAAAGTGGAAACGGAATGGTTCAAAATGGTTCAAGCACCTTAAAGCTTCCTCTCCCTGCTAAAAGTGGATCATTCGGATGGAACTGACTATTGCACGGCAATGACCCTTTCCCAGTCCTCTATGCGGATTAGCGCCCGAATCCGTTCTAATAGTCGATTAACCCTCACAGAACCATTCATTTGTTACCCGTAGAGACACTCTCCTTCTTTCAAAGCTATCTTACGGTTGATGAATACAGGGCTGCGTCGTAGGACCTGCCACACCTCTGCGTTTCTGCTTTCTCCAAACACCTAGAGCGACACGACCTCTCAGAGAACCGAGTGTTCCAGTAGGGAAAGATAGCTGCGGCATCAACCGTTTAATGGCGTGCTCATGGTGGAGCTCATCTTCTACTCTCCAAGGGGAAGGTGCATCAAGGTAGGGGAAGCGTTTCATTGGAGGAAGGATAGTATACGGTGCCATACTACCCGACTTACGTTAGAGTTAGCCAGCCGGCTACGTGCTTCATACTGTCCTGTAAAATGATGTGGAATTCTTTTAGTCATTCAGATGACCTTGGAGGGTAACTTGTATATTTGTTGACTCCTTTGATTCGCTTGGGAAAGCCTCAGTCCTTACAGTCATGTCTGTATGTTAAATTGACCGATGTCTCAATTCCTTCTCTTCAATAAATGTTTCGTCCCTTCCCCTCTTATAAATGGGGTTGCAACATTATAGCTTTTTATGGGTTTTGCTCCTCTGGCAAGCCTATCCTTTGAATCGTTTGAAAGGCAAGACCGAACGCAGTTTCATTCCCTCGAGTGCTATCGCAAAGCTTGCTCTCAAACTGGATGCCAGCTGCTGTTCTAGGTTGCTTCATCCGAATTTTATTCTCTTTTTTTGTTCGCTAGTACTCCCTAGCATTCTGCTCTAGTTCAGACAAAGCAGCCTTTGTAACAATGTGTAGATTTTCCACATTTCTGTAAGGTTCGTGTTTTCGCCCATATCGATTCGTTAGGCCCGTGCCAGTTTTTTCTTGAGAGAATTTTCAAATGCGGTATTTCAACGGTCATTGAGGCCACTTTACCTTGTCTACACTTGGACATTGGGACGAGTTATCCTGTGCCGTGTTTCTCCTTGTTCATACTTGGGATATGGAAAGCATCAGGTCTAGAACAGTTGGTGTTCTGTGACCTTGCATTGCTATAGCCCGCATCTTGAAGTCTGATTGGGCGTGTCACCGGAAATGACGTGGCAGCCACCGCACTTGATAGAAGTTGCGCGGATAAGCTGCTTCCAACATACTTCGCTGATCAGCAAGCTGGCTGGAAGCAGCTTATCCGCGCAACTTCTATCAAGTGCGGTGGCTGCCACGTCATTTCCGGTGACACGCCCAATCAGACTTCGAGATTTGGACTGTATTTACAGTTCATAGATACCTCGAAGAATGACCAGTGTGTCAATGGATTTGACTTGGTCGTCGCCGCACTTGGTAGAAGTCCGTGTGGGTGAGCTGTTTCCAACATTCTTCTGGATATCAGCAATGCATGCTGGAAGCAGCTTGTCCGCGCAATTCCTGTCAAGTGCGGTGGCCGCTTTATGAAATCCATAGACATGTCTAATCGAGATATGGACTGTATGCTTAACTAATGGTTAAAAAATCTGCTTCTACTCAAAAATGGATTTTCCAGCGATGAAACCCCATGAAATCCAAGACAAGTTGGGTCTCACACGAATACGGGACAGGAACTGGTACGTTCAGCCAACTTGTGCCGCTGCCGGGGATGGGCTTCATGAAGGACTTTCCTGGCTCAGCAGTAATTGCAAACCTTAGCCTGATATACCTTTTATGTGTGTGTCAGAGTCTACGAGACTTTCAGCACATATTCAATTTGTTTCGAATATTGTTCGTAGATGTTATTGCACGTTTCTATCCTCAAAAGGAAATTTGATTTTTCCGTGCCACGGCTGTGCCGATTGTGTATTATTTGAAGCATTGCCAATCTGTTTTTTGGCATGCTATCTGCAGCGTCTTTGTATTCACAATGTCTGAAGCGGACATGTTTCTCGGTCATGTATATATGCATACAGTCGTTAGAGCTCGAGTTCGGCCACAGTACGTTTAAATTGAGCGTACGCTCTCGAAGCGGTCTCATTTGCATACCTCATATGACTTCCGCACTGCAGACGTGGTCGTTTCGTTTTCCTTTTTTGTAGCGTACTGCAGACGCAACTCGTTCTAGAGGCGGCAACTATAGGCCATGTAAGAGCTTGACTGTCGTTGTGGTGGCGTCTTTAGACGTTACTGTCTGTTATGTTGTACTTGTTGGCTAATCAGTTTGAACAATAGATGAGCAGCAATGTTAGTGCTGCTGATGTGCTTCGAACTCTTTAATTCTCGACGTCTTGGACACTATTAATTTGACTTTTTTTGATGCTTATATTATGTATTTCACCTGTGATACGAAATATATCTATTGTTAGAAATGGATTCGTTCTTCTTAAGGTCCCATTACACTGGCTACTGTACATTTAGTAGTTAGCCACTTAGTTTTTATTGGAATGTTTCTGTAAGAGATGCTTTCATTGGAATAGATTCTTAGTCCTAGTAAGTTCTCGATTGCTAGCTTTCCCATTTGTTGTTCGGTATAATTTTCACGTGATCTGAGGCAATTATAGGTTATAAATATATGACGTATTTTGACTTTTTGTTCAATTGTTGTTCACAACTGTTTATCTAGGCGGGTAAGAGTTTTTTTTTATAAAGAGCAACATCTTCAGGAGTGTAGAGTATGCAGGTTTACGAGTATGAGAACACCGGGAATAGTTTGGATCTGGATAGTGGTAGGTTTATTTTTAATGAGCAATCATCGTTTTGAAGACGGTGATCACGATGGTTTGGGGGCGGTTTGATTTTGATGATTTCATTGAAGCGTTTTGGAGCGCCTCAGACCGCACCTCCCTCTGGACCGTCGAGATCACTGCCTTTAAACCTCTTCTGAAGAGTATTGGACAGGACGTGAACTGGCGCGTTTCATCGTTCTGTATGCGAGAGTATCGACTAGAAAGCACAAGAAGTGGGAAGGCGATGGAATTTTGATATGTTACGCGAATCTCGCTCTACTTAAAACAGAGGACGAAAAGGACGTTATTAGTAGGTGAGTGACCTTCCGAAGGTAATCAACGGTTTACTTTGATGAAATGAGTGGGCACTGGAGTGCATGAATAGCTTTAAAGGTAGCGGTTACGATAGTTTGTCGGAGGGTTCAGAGAGACGAGGTGGTGCTCAGTGGTACGCCAGTGGCGAAAAAAGCAGAGAAATCCGTCAAGAAAACGCAAAAGGGACCCCTTTTTGGCCGTTGGTTTTCACTCATGAACAGGTAACAGCTCAGAAAGCGGACGTATGAACGAGTTCACCGCAACGCGTTTGGTGGCACCATGCCAAACCACGCTTCAATCGAGTTGCTCCGGTTGTGCCGCTGCTGGCATCGCAGAACAAGTAGACGGATCGCTTTTGGGGGCAGAGCGTTTTCGAAGTCCCTCGCAGCAACCAGCAAACCTTCCGTCGTGAAAAGGGCCACACCTCGTTCCCTTGGCCAGGTAACTTTCATGTGGCGCACATGCTTTCCCGATGCGCTTTCTCTTCATCGTAATCGCTGCTTGAGGCCTTAGTTTTTTTGAGGAATTCTGCACGAACATGAAAATACAGTGCGTTAATAATTACAAGGGCACCCTAAGATTTAGCATTTCTGGGAAAGCGGCAGGGAGAATTTTTCTTTTGTCACCAGCTGATTCCTCACCAGTGAATAACCTCTGTACCGCAATTTTTGTGTTAACAGCTCTTCTTATAACTTTTTTCAGAAATATTTTGTGGGATTTTGCACCGTTGCGAAAAAATAAATGTTAAACAACAAATCTGGCTGTGAAACTGAATTTGTTACAAAGACATCCACTAGCTAAATCTCTAGAATGGTTCGTATTCGTCTTCAGGCCAGGTTTATGCATTTCGTGGTTCTCGGCACGGTTCCTGAGCCTTTGCAAAGCAGTTTGGAAATTCCTTTGCTCTATTCACAGATACCCTAATTTCCGGTAGATAAGCACGCGCCGATGTCATGTAAAAACATCTCCGCTCGTGCAGTGTAATTTCTGTACACCTTAGAAACTACCGTAACTTTTCCTATACAGGCACTCTAATTCGATGCTCTGATTACAAAAACGACTTTCATCCTTAGCCATGGCGCCATCTGGCACCATTTGGCGTCCCCTTGTCACTTCACCTGTTTTCTCCAGAATTATGATTTAAACTTCCGCATAGGGATTATTTGATGTCCTGATCACGAATATGATTTCCACTCTCGGCGCTGGCGCTGTCCGGCGTCTATCTGCTCGTCTGCGCCCTTCAATCAAAAAATACGCGTTGAGCAATGTTTAATGCCAAAACGAATGTCGTACTCGCAATTTATAATAATTGGGCACCAAATAACCCCTATACAGAAGTTTACACCGATTTTGGTGAAAACAAGGGTCGTGACAAGGTGGCGCCAACTGGCGCCAGATGGCGCCACCGCTAAAAATGAATGTCGTTTTCGTGATCAGCATATCGAATTACCCCTATGGGCAAGTTACGGTTGTCTCTAGTTACGTACGCAAGTGCACTGCACCAGCGGAGGTGTTTGTACGTGACATCGGCTCGGGCATATCTACCGGAAATTAGGGTAATTGAAGAGCTGCTATGCTTCAGATTTTCTAAGGGCTCCCAACTTCCTTTCTATAAGTGATTAGGGAAGAGTTATGAGGGCTGTCCCAAACAGTGCTTCCTCTTGAAATCAGAGTCGTTCGTAATTTAATGTTTCTATCTTAAAAATATGAACTGGAGAGCGGTGAAAAGATGCAGCAACATTGTCAGGAAAGCGACAAAGATGGTCCGAAGGCTCACTGGCCATTACAAGGAGCACAACTTCAACCCGTAAAGTTGAACTTAGAGAGAGATTGAACAAAGTTGAGCCTGCGCCACAATCGCACCACATAGCAAGATAATTTCAGTGAGGTTGGTATTTTCTGATGAAGGCTGTTACACGACCAGATCGTATGGATATAAACACTTTTGCCATGATTTGCGAAGGTAGCCAATTTACTTCAGTACTACTTCAATATTACGACATACGCAATTTTGGTGAAGGAGATGTGTAAGGTGTGAGTGCTCTCTGTAGTGATGTTGTATGGGAATTGGGCTTCCTTGAGGGGCTTCCTTGAGCTGCGTGCTAGATTCTAGGGACTAGCATGGAGCCTTGCAAGGACAGTTGGCTACCTCACGTATTCTTACAAAACACCCCAGGTGCTCATGTAAGTCACCAACCAAAAGCAACATTGTTCTCAAATCCAGATGATCCGAACAGGTTATACTGAAGTTATAGTCGTATTCCGTTAGAATATCTCA